TGTCATCGTTCTGGGCCAAAGCCATCCGACAACTCATGTTCTCAAAAGACAAACTGTCCTTTCTCCCTCAAAGCCTACGAGGTCGTCGCCCCCAATGTTCCCGAACATCTACAGGCCCTGGTCCAGAACAATACCCAACCTCCAGCTGGTACGTGGAAGATCGACATCAAGAATCCAAGTCACAACCATGGACCGATTGGATCAGAAGTATGTCCGCTTTTAACTCCTCCGGTCCCTAACGTTGATGAGTTTTGAGCACCATATTCATCTCAGGCCGAGAAATCAACGGTAAAGACTTCAATAGCCGAGAGCCTTGCCGTCATCAAGCAACGATCAACCTTGGTGAGTAGTCTCTATTCCCAACAGTGCCGATCAGAAGGGCTGAATTGGGGTGATTCCATCGGCAGATATCCAATCAATTATCCCAACTTTTGCCAAACGATCGCAGCCAGGCCCTCGCTGAGATTCAAAAAGTCTTGGAGAAATATCAGAACCCTCTTGCATCGACTGTAACTCAGTCAAACAAATCAAATGACCTGATCGCAACGAACAACACTTCTCATTTCATTCCAGAAGATATCAGCAACTCCTTGACACCTAGCTTACCGGCCGTGAGTTTCTTCTTTTTTTACATTCCCAGTACTTGCACCCAAATCTGATCATGATATTGCAGACTTTGATCGAGCAGCATCTGAAAACAAAGAAAAAGAAAAAAAAGATACAACCCCCTGCATCTGTACCCCTCCTCGTACCTTCAGCTCTTCCAGCCTTCCCACCTCAAGGTTCATCTCAACTTCGAGCTTCACCTCAACCTGTCTCACCTCAACCTCGACCTGTCTCACCTCAACCTCAACCTCAACCTCCGCCCCCTGCGTTCTCAACCCAAATTTCAAAGCCCGCTCACACCGTTCCACCTCAAGCTTCATCTCAATATGCAGCTTCACCCCAACGTGTCTCACCTTCATCCCCACCTGCTGTTTTCCCAAGGCTAATCTCTCAGCTTGATCATATTACCGCTCCACCCTCCTTACCCTTCATTACAACTAGACCAACAATAACAACCGACGTCAAACTATTGGTTGATTATGAATCAGAACCATCAGTAAGCCTTGATTCTCTATTCTCTACTTGCCTTGTGCCTTACTAACCTTTGTTGTGTTGAACTGCACCAAAGCCTCCGAATAGTCCTAGGGATGCTGTTATTGATATCATCACCGATCCAATTTGTCAGGTATGTTGATCAGGTTGAATCATGCCATGATGAGACGTATCAATGAATTTCGAAGTTGAATCAGCAACTGACTGTTTGGTTTCCGTAGTCTCCGCACGCCGATCAACCACCTAATCATGTAGACGACTACGCGGATGAAAGCTTTGATTTAGATACCTTAATCCCCCCTACTACAAGCCCTGAGAAGCAACATCAAGACGATCTGAAGCAAGATCAAGATGATTTAGATGTTCTATTCCCCCCTCTCACTAGCAGCCCTTCGATTCTAGAAGCCACAAGCATAAGCAAGACTGAAAACGCCTCCGTCAATGTATTGCCTGAAATCAAATCTTTTCAGGCTCCAAGTGTGAGTATATCGCTTCTTAAGTTCACGCATGTTCCAGCCCCTTTGTGCGCATCTCATATTGATTGCCCTCACTATATCTATATAGCGAATTAAGAAGAGGGCCCGATCAAACCCATCCGGAACAATCACCACTTCTGTTCGTAGGTCAACAAGGCAGAATCCCGCCAACATGGAGACCTCCCGCCACACCGGTTCTCGTCGTTCTACTCGATCCTGCAACACCAAAAAAGTGTGTACGTGTGTCCCCACTTCTTTGTTTGTCTGCAACTTGAACTGTGTTCTAACTTGTGATGTGATTGGATCAGGATACTCGAGTTCCACATTGGCTACACGAGTATGTACAATCAGTAGCAGACCCTCGTCCTGACGGTCATTGTGGATATCGCGCAATTGCAATCGCGTTAGGCCGTCCTGAAGATCATTGGCTAACGGTGCGCGAAGACCTCATCGCTGAGCTACAGTCCAAATCGGATTTTTATGATCAACACTTCAAAGCACGCAAGAGAGGCGATGGCGACGTAGCTGATCACATTGCTGCCATCCGAACAAGCAGAGAGGAGGTGGTCGATACACCTGCACTCTGGCTCGACTCGGCTCAAATGTTGTACATCATCGCAACAACTTACAAAACAGTGTTCTGTGTCTATAGTGATAATGTATCTTTTTCAGCTTTCCCTCTCGATTGTCCAGCAAATGACAATCCTCCTATATTTCTATGTTATGATCGGACTTCACTTCACTTCTTATCGCTTTATCTGAACACCACTCCAGCTCTTGTTCCGATACCTAAGCCTTGGACAGAGTGGTACCATCTTGCACTACCTGAAGCAAAGGACTGGGATCATAAATATAATCATCACTTCATGTTGTTCCAAGAACGTATTGTACCTAGACTTACTGCCCCCAAGCCATTGTTGTATTCTCCCATTGAACTCGACCTTGTTTCCGACTCTGAATAGCACTAGTAATATATATACATTACTACTTTGGTTGAACAAATATTATCGTTAGTTCATTTTCAGTTTTTGAAGACATCTCAGACTCCATCATGCTGCCAATAAAATAAATTGAAGATTGATTACAAAAATCCGGCCTAACTTTTTTAATCATTGTAAACATTATTCACAAACTCAACCCATGAAATGCCACCTGTATTCATTCTTTAGCAATGAGTAAGGTGTTATTTAACACTGGTGTGGTCTTCATTAAGTGATGCTCGATGAACCTCATTTTACCATCTCAGAATGCCATTCTCACATGGTAACCAAAAAACATGGAAGATTTGATCACAAGTCATTGCACATAATAACTCATAACATTCAATCATATTCAATCATAGCATTTCACCGTTAAGGTCATACAACTCTTCATAGAGCAGATCCTCCGCTGCTTCATACTGGTCAGGCTCCTCAGCCTGAAGGTTTGGCTGCCCAGTTAAAACCTTCCAAAGGTTATCAGCCCACTCGGTCACCCTTTGAAAACGAGTTTTCAAAGGTTCATCATCATCAACCAACCTTTCTGGCAAGTGTATCTTTGTTTCTTCAATCTGACTCTTGAGCCCCGGTCCCCATTTTTTCCAAAGCTTACAGCACCTTCTTGACACAATGTTGTAGAGCGAGGCCAACCGTGATCGCACTGTTGGACTCAAAGCTGAAGAGTATAGTCAGCAAACATCAAGACTTATGTCCTGACACTGCTAGAACTCACCAGTCTCGACTCGTTGCTTTAGAGCAACCAGTCTGTCAAAGTACTGGTTTGCCCAACCCGTCATCTGCCTCACTTCCCGAGCAATACGCCGAAGCTCCTCAATAGCACATCTTCGCGATAAGAAGCTCTGGGTACCCAGCCGATCCCTCTCCGCTTCTTCAACCTCCGCTGGGGCATCTTCACCCCGATTCCAAAAAGGGTGATCCATTGTCATCGCAATCACAGCTTCCAGATCCGGCAATTCAGGCTGAACAGCTCTTGGGAAATTCACACGGTATTTATCTACTTGGCGCTTGTAAGTATAGTACTTGGTACGCACATCTCTGTTCCTATCAGCTATATGACGTGCCATGTATTGCTGCTGGCGCGCCCCTGGATGGTGAAAGACATTTGTCAGCTAATGTTGCGTGCGCATGTTTCAAATTTATCCAATGTAGGGCGTGGCAATGCAAAGGCTTACCGGTGTTGCGATGACGTCGCAACCTGGCCTCATGGATGCCAACCTTTGCTTCGTAAAGCTTCTCCCGCGCCAGGCTCATGGTGAGCAGTGCATTCTGATGATTACCTACAATAACAAAGGTTTTTGTCAGACATGTGTTGCTTAACTCCAAAAACAGATTGAGCACTAAAACCTACGCGTGACTCCGGTTAAGGATCGAAACTCAGCACCTCCAAGTTCCGAAGCCATGGCTTCGATTTGCTCTTCGATTGATGCCACACTCCCTGGAAGGGACATAAGTTCAATCCTCTCAGCGTCAGTCCTAGCTCTTCGGCGTATGTTTTGGAGCCCCTTGAGTCGGTCCCTGGAATGGGCAAGGAACGGGCCAGGTGTTCTTCAGCATGAGGAACACAGGTTCTGAATTGCTCATAGATCGAGGTACTCACCGAGCGCCAATAAGCTCTTCTTCCAAAGCCAGCAACACAAGCAGACGCTCCCTTTTCTGTTGCTGTGTCTCAGTAAGCACATCAAGCTGACGGACCTTCTGTTCGTTCCACTTATTCTCAAAGTAATCTCCTCCAACAGCTGGGTTTGCACGAACCAGATTCGATAGGGCTTGGTCAGCCTCTGCCAGGCGTTTGATTGCTTCACTCCGCTTGCGAGTCATATGAACAACTGGTGAGTAATAACACACAATACGTTGGGTAATGTAAGATTCCTAAATACCTACCTAAAGATAGTGTTTGTTCAATAGGAGTTGAATCTAACGTACCAGCTGAATGGCAAAGGTTTGTACGGTAATGGCTGGCTCGCATATCAATGGCATCCACACGATGCTGAGATGTCGAGTATCTCTCGGCGCTGACGAGCGAGTCAAGAGTTGACCAAAGGCGCTCAGAGCCTTCTCCGTCAGAAAGCCCCCAGCCTTGATTGAGCCTAGGATTCCATTTCAGTTGGCAGGACCATCGATGGACGTATGCGTGAAATACGCTAGTCCCAAACTTGAGACGCCTTGCATGCCGCTCTGCTTCAAACATTCCACGCTGAAATATAATACAAATAAAGATAGAGAAGTGTGATTTTGGTCAGATAGGAATGGGTAGGGATCAAGTATTGTTAGGTATCTCACGGATTCAATACCGTTCTCCATGGTACATCCTATATCGTATAGGAACCCTATCCTCTGTTCTTCAGTCAAAGCAAGGAATGACTCTATCAAGCTATAGCTGTAATGAAGTCTAACACATAATCAAAGCACATGTTAGAATAGCATTATCTTATGACTCAGAGTCAGGCACTTGCTTTTCGCCACTCTGAACGATGTTGGCAAAACGAATAGGGTGATCATGTCGGCAGACCATTGCCATCAACCCTGTTTCGTCACATCCAGCCCAATGCCCCTTTGCTCGACGATCGTTAGCTGCTGTATGTTGTTCAGCACATGCTGACTGTAGAATGTCGGTAAGCATTGCCTCCAAACTTTGTGCAAATATTAAAGTTCGTCACTTACTGCTTCTTCTTCCGGCATTCCAGCAAGGCGATGTTCCATTTGAGTTACTTGAGCCTCAGGTAAGAAATTGTCGGGCATGACTGTTGGAATCTTTGCGGCCTTGGTTCCAGCTGCTATATGTCTTCGGTGCTGAAAATTGCCGTCCAAGCAGACAACGATGTCAGGCTCACCTTCAACAGTACTTGGCACTGGGGTGCCAAAACATCGCGGGCAGTTCTCCGCAAGCTTATCCTTGGGAGTTAGAGAGAGTTCAACATCGAGGGCTTTATCGGTGGCTGTGAGCATCTTTCGATATGTGTCAATAGCCCATCGAAATGGGGTGTGCCATTGACGTGGCTACTCAGTATGAGTGGGATACAAGATCAGTATTTTATTTTTCCCATCGTAGGGCAAATGGTAATTTGCAACTGACCTGTTCGTTCTTGGTCAGTAACAGTGGATTGAAGGCATCCAGATATTCGTCAAGTCCTCTGGTCCAAGGTTCCACACGACTAGTACAGTACTTCCAAGTCGTGTGGAAGAATCTGAGTAGGCGTATCGAAAACGCAGTCTCGGGGTATTTTGGTGAGCCTCCGATGTATCCCATGTAGATGAGCCTGGTGTTATCGTTCTGATGACATCCGCAAAACTTTACCTCCAACTTCTTTCGATCTAAAAAGTGAATAACAACTACATCAGCATCATGATTTCTATTTGAGGACGTAGCAATAGCAAAAGTCAAATGAGAGATGACACAGCTGAATGTACATAGGATGTCGACAAGATCAAGGTGTCTAACTCGAAGTTGATGACCTTGACAAGTACACTGCGGTTTCCGATCCAGGTCCCACTGGTTCGGATCCCCCCATTCGGTCGTATGGAGATGACATTCAATATATGCGTAGAACATCTCTTGAGTGGCACGTTGCAATGCAAGCGCTCGTTCCTGTCGTTCATCTTCGACACGCGCACGTTCGATGTCATCAATAAAACCAGGCACTTGAGGTCCGAGTCCGAGGTCGAGATACTGATTATCCAAGTGATTTAAAAAGTCGGCGTTGACATCGTATTCGTCGGAATCCAAAGGTTGGCCCAAATGATGTGAGTTTGGCACCGTTGCGCGCACCGCTGGCATATGAGCCTGTACGGCCGCAGCCATCCGTGCAAAATGTTTGCGTTGAGCTTCGGTCTTTGGCTTTTTGAGCCAGTACGGCTTCTTGGGTTTGAAAGGCTGATGAACACCTTCGAACCGGGGCATGTTGAACGATTGATTTTGATTTGCGGTGCTTTGCTGAAATGATACGATTTGTTAGGGTCCGTGTATGGTTGGGATTTGTTGATCTCTGGTCAATATGTGAAATGGTGGAGTGGTAATTGATTGGTTGAAGAAGAATCAAGTTGGCAGTGAGGAGTGCGGTAGGGTTGGTCCTTGGTCAGCTGGGTCGGTGCCGTTGTCAACCCCCCAACCTTCGTACATACAGTTATGTACAAGTATGTACCTGGCCTTGCCAATGACATACAACTGAAGAGTAAAAAATGGTTCTCTTCAATTGTCTAACAATCATGAATACAGCCGTATTCATGATTGATGAACACTTAAAAAAACCATTCAAATGTTTTGAAAAAACTATTTGAATAATCACAGCAAAAAAATGTGGTGATCAATGATCTTTGCTGTGATTATTGAAAAAAAATAATTTCATATGTTCATCAATCATGAATACTGCTGTACAATTGAAGAGAACTTTTGGACATCAATGGCCTTTTTCCTAGATGATTAAAAAATTCATTCAATGTGTGACTCAAGCAGGGGTGGACATGTGATATTGAAGGAATTATTGGCTGGTCAAATATACAAACCTTTCCAACAACTTGGAGAAATAGATGAACAATGAAGTGACTCTGGGTCTTGAGAAGGCCTTCAATCTTTGTATAGAGTGTGCCACTCTTGTGCTTTGAGCCTTGTCCCACATCTTCAGAGCAGGAGACAAGATGCCCAATTGTGATATTGAAGTGGGATTTGAATGTTGAGAATGCAGGATATGGATAAAAAGTCAATATTGACTTATGTCTAAAACATAGGAAAGTCCTTTTTACAAAGAAGTCATCCACAAATATCCCATATGTTCAAGGGGTTTATGTGGTTATGGGACCTGAGCAGGATTCAAAATGACCAATTTTGATATTCAGGTAAAATTGAATGTTGGGATGGGGGATATTGATGAAAAATTAATAATTAAATGTGTCCACTGTTTAGGAAAGTAAATTACCAAAGGATGATAATGGATATATGTGCTTGACTGGTCCACACACAGACTCATGTCAATGAGTCTGGGTCAATGAGTATGTGTGGTTATGGACTCAAGATGACCAATTTTGATATTCAGTTGGAAATTGAATGTTGAAAATGCAATATATTGACTAAAATAATGATGAAATGTGCCCAGCATGTTGGAAAATACATTTTACAAAGTATCAATCCACAAATATCCCACATGTCCAATGTGTTTGGGTGGTAATGGGACCTGAGCGGGAGTCAACATGACCAAACTCTACTTTCAGGTGGACTTGAAAGTTGAGGATGGGGGATGTTGATGAAAAGTCAATAATGAAATATGTCCAGTGTTTATGAAAGTAAATTACCAAAGGATGATGATGCATATATGTGATTGACTTATCCACACACACATATCCCACATGTCAATGTGTTTGTGTGGTTATGGAGTCAAAATGACCGATTTTGATATTGAAGTGGGAAATGGGATATGCAACCCTGATCCTAATAAGTGATCATAACAAAATGGATGTTGAAGATTCACTTTTTATTGATCAACAGTGATTAATGAAATAGGTCCAGCGTGTAAGAAACATTTTACATAGAAGCAATCCACAATTATAATAATGCATATATGTGCTTGACTTATCCGTGGGAATTGACTGTTTAAGATGCCAGATATTGATAAAAAGTAAATAATGAAATGTGTCCAGCATGTAAGAAATGTCCAGTTTGTAGGAAAGTACATTTTCAAAGAAGCAATCCACAACTATCCCATAAGATCAATGTGTTTGTGTTTGTGAGGCAATGGGACCTGAGCAGGAGTCAACATGACCAATTTTGATATTGTGGTGGCAATTGAATGTTGAGGATGCATGCAAGATATTGAGAAAAAGTGGATAATTGATATTCAGGTGGAATTGAATGTTGGGATGGGGGATATTGATGACTGGACACATAATGAAATCGGTCCAGTTATTAGGAAAGTATATTAGCAAAGGATGATAATGCATATAGGTGCTTGACTTGTTATACTGTGGCTGCCTGGTTTGACCAAGTACTCACACATAGAGCTTTTGTCCAATTGGTGATCAAACACAATCCTATTTGGGCAAAAGCTATATCAAAATTGATAAACCTTTTTTTTCAAATCTGAATAAGATGTGCCAAAGGAAATTCACTTCATAGTTCCACTAAGTATTTCCCATGTTGCACACCTTATGGGTCATTTCAACTCACTTGTGCGCCCTTCCGCCAAAATGGTTCGAGCAATGATAAAGACATCACGGTAAACCATGGATAGACTGACACCTGAAAACATTCTTGTTTAAGATCATTTGAGGGGGTAGTTTAACCATCTGGCCTGATAATCTACTCAATTATGAGCATCTCACTTTGCTGGAGATAGACTTGATGACATCAAGTCTATTCCAACTGTTTTGCGTAGAAAATGCTCAAGATACTTTTGACTATTACATGGATCATAAGTGTAGTATATATGTGATAATGAAGGTCGATTGTATCATTGAGATGGGCTAGGTGTAGTTGTTCTGAATGTCATCATTGCATCTATCTTACGTCTAATGACTCAATGACATCATTTCCAAATGACCAGTTTGTCTCTGAGACATTTCACTATTACATGGATCTGTATTCTTAGTGTCATCAAACAGTCATATGATAAATGTGTAATCACACCTGTAAGAACCTCAACTAACAACCGTTCTAAAGATAACATGTCTGACCTAAAAGTAATGAAATAGGAAAATGACAATATTAGAGAAGCACTCGATAAAACATATTAAAGATGTATCAAATGACTTATAGGTGCAGAAAAGGTGAGATGGTTAGTGTATGTAATAACTGATCCCTGGGGAACCAACGAGCAACATTTTATATCGGCAACATATAATTAAAAATAAGTAAAACAAATATATGTGTATATATATTTGTTTTTCATCTCTATTCAATTGGTACTGATAACTTTGATACTCGTGAACTTCAAATTCTTCATTGAGATAGCCTGAGTGTAGTTGTGTTTCATCGCATCATTGGATCTAATTGACAGCTCTAAATTTAGCGACATCGATTCCATCAAAACATGTAATTCATGTTTCTAATGGTTAGTATAAGACAATGCCTTGTTATTGTCTCGAGTGTAGATATTTTATCTCACTTCATATATATAAGAGCAGTCTGATCTTCTACAACTGTTCTGCTTAGTGATAGCACTTGTGTCGTCAACCATATTGAAAATGAGCCAGAGCCAGCCAGAAAAAGAAGCACCTACAGCGGAAAAACGGTGAGTAGTAGTATATGAACACCGATAATATATGCTACTGGAGCCACTAAATCGAAGCATGACGCGCGCAAAAGGCTAAACGATCGATGGGAACTGATTAGTGACTGTTTGGATTCATCAAGAATTGAAACACTTCAAAAGGCAAACCTCAAATTCATATGTGCAACTGGTACGATCCCACAATTCTTCATCGACGAAGTCTTCAATAAAACCGAGTCAAAGGAAATAAGCATTTGATGGCTCGAAGTTTGATTCTTTGGAGTTCGCATTCCGAGTCACATCTAATGGTAAACGAATCGAGAATCGAATAGAAGGAGGAATAGAATTGAGGTTATGATAACATATTGAGTGATGTGTTGATTAATATGGAGAATGCGAACACCAGTATGAAGAAGGCGAAAACAAGCACAATCCGTCAAGGTGAATCATAATGGGTGACATAGTGGTGAGTGAGCGGATGCGCGCCTTTCGAGGTTGGATGTTGATTTCATGCGCTTGAATCTGATACATTCGAGCTGATTGTCATGCTCAGGAAGAATTTGACCATTTGGTTCCAGTATTGGTGGTGGTTCGCTGATTAGAAGACATGACCTGGCGTGACGTGTAGATATATATTTGTCAGTCTCAGCTTACAAACCCAAGCATAACCTGCTTCATGCTATCAGAAACACATCCGGGTGTCTCGAAAGCATACGGGTCAAGCTCAAAGATCCGGCTAGGAGCGAGAGATCCTGAAGCAGGTGTGCGTTGGGAGAATAGTGGAGGAGACCACTTCACGTACCATCTAGAATTTGACCATTTGGTTCCAGCATCGGGGGTGGTTCGCTGATAAGAAGACATGACCTGGCATGAAGTGTAGATATACATTTGTCAGTCTCAGCTTACAAACCCAAGCATAACCTGCTTCATGCTATCAGAAACACATCCGGGTGTCTCGAAAGCATACGGGTCAAGCTCAAAGATCCGGCTAGGAGCGAGAGATCCTGAAGCAGGTGTGCGTTGGGAGAATAGTGGAGGAGATCAATTCACGTACCATCTTTTCCTTGGAGACATGGGTGACTGATGGCGAGGGTGGAGATCGGTGATGCATCGCAAGAGGAAAGGAGTTGGTTGATGTTATCCTAACCCATAGAGAGGATTCCGTGGTGGTCTATGGTGTGCTATGTGTAGTGGCGTGGTCGTAGTGGTAGGTAGGGCGGCTCGCAATACTGATACTTAGGTTTTGGTATGTGAGATTGAAACCTAAGTATCAGTATTGTGCGGCTTGCAGTACCGATACTTAGGTTTCAAATTGTGATATTGAAACCTAAGTATCGGCTGTTTGAGCCTGTCGCACAGTACAGCACGGTACCATGACAGTATCGGTTGGGCGTCTTGCAGTACCGATACTTGGGTATGTATCAAATTGTGATATTGAAAGCTCAGTATTGGTTCTGTGAACCAATTCGCACAGTACAACACGGTTTCATGATATACTTATACACAAAGGATTATATGTATTAAGATTTTTTTTGCGCAACAAACCAAATGTGATGATTAAAAGTAGATGAAAAAAGTCAATGGGTTAGGAGGAAGAGATGCAATGAATAAATGTTGGAGAGTAAGTTGATTCATGAAAAATCATTGTGGTTTGAAGCAGATTGTGTGACAACAAAGACTGGTTGTGGTGAATAAACTCTGACTTATACAGCAAAGATGAAGGGTAAAGCTTCGACATGGAAACCAGCACAATGAGGCCTCGAAGCGTGTTACATATTATAAGCAATAATCACTGATCCTGACATGCGGTCAGGAGTTAGTGGGATTGTTGGAGACCTAAATATATCAACTACACAAAGGTAATATTTTTGATTGGATCAAAATAACAAATGAATTTGTTATTTTGAATCTTGTGAACAATTTGATTGACAAAATTTCAAAGGCTTTTTGGGGAATATCAAAGATTGAGACGCTGACTCATTTATTAAATTTTTGACTGACAAAAGAGTGAATGAAAGGGTTCAACTCCCGTGATCGAAGATGAGAAGAACTAAAGGGAGATATATATAATATAATTAAAGCATGATGCCTTCTATTTTAATTTGAATTCAGCGTAGACAATGTCCAATCCAAGACAACTTCACCATTCGCAAAATTCAATGATCTTTGTGAAATAGTTCAATTTTGCAATTTCGATAAGTAATGCTATGCTTTGAGATTTTTGCGAGCATGGTACTGAGAATTGTATCAGTGTTGGATGAGTGAATGATTGTGAGAGATTGTTTTTGATCCTAAACATTGCTCTCCGGTACAACTACAACGGTGTAGCGTCGGGCTAAGATGTCCTCATACCAAGTCTGCATCAGACTTTTATCGTTCATGATTGCCGCAGGGCCCGCGGCAAGCATCTCAGGTGTAACCTTAGAGTCGGAAGTTTGATGAACTGCCAGTCGAATACTCCCCGGAAAATCTGTAGTTCGCAAACGAACATCACAGCTTTTTTTTTTGGGGTGTATGTGAACCCTGGGCTTGAGGAGCTTGCGATTGACATTCTTAAGGTGGTCCACTGCAGTGTATTGGAGTCAGTTTTTCAACCCAACCTGTTCACAGTGAGTTGATCAAAGCTGGTACTGACAAACGAGCTGGTTTAAATGCAGCGTGAAGTCCTTGCGTAGTTGGTCGTTTGGAGCAACCACGGCACTTTTGACCTGGCGAGTGGCGTTACGACCGGTGACAAATCGGTCGAATCTTTCAAGGAGATGGTTACCAAAGGAGAATGTGCTGAGATAAATTGGATCGGAGCTAAACTCCTTACTCCATCCGGCGTAAGGGTTTGTAGTAGTTGGGTTCCAAGAAGCCGCTAGGAGGTGGTAGTGCATACCATAGGTCTTGTGGGCAACCTGAAGCTGTTGTTTAAGAAAGAGTTAATAATAAATCAGTTTCGAATTCTGGCAGAGGTGTGCAAAAATAATAAAAATAATGTGGTTACTGTAGAATGTATGAATTCCATCTGCCTAATGCCCTTTTCCTGGAACTTCGCGATCTGGTTGATGTTACGGCTCAAAGCAAGTTCATCTTTTAATTTTCGAATATTAACTAGTCGTTCAAAGGTGGAACGGAATGGTTCTTCTTCGGCAGACAGGACTTCGTGAGGTAGAATGTCGACAGGATCATTGGAGATGACCAGAGCAATGCGAGCAAACAAAGGATTTTGAAAAATCTTCAAATCCATAGACGTCTTGATTTCTTGCCACGCTGCACAAACGTTCGTATTGTATATTGCAATACCAGCCAGGTCGTCTGTTGGAGGCACTGGAGTCCAAACAAGCTTGAGCATGACTGATGTTTGCAACAGACTAGTGAAGAACTTACTGATGTTGTCAACTGTTGCGGCTTTACTGAATTTGCGGAATCGGTGGTACGGCTTGGTTTCGTTTTCACGGACGGAACGATGACTAGGGAGAAACAAGATGCCTGATGTCAAAACAGTGAAATGGAATGTCACAGCTGGGTTTGTAAATGTGTAATAACTTAACACTCCGTATTTCAGTGTGTCATAAGAGATGCCGCCGGCGATACTCAACACTTGCAAGCGTGTTGTGAGTTCATTTTCAAGCGCCCTGGCTTCATCCAGAATAGCTTGCGGGATTCGGTTATTAGCTTTGGCCTTGGTGCACGAGAGGTAATGAGAAAGCTCTGTATCAGTCCAACTCTCTGCAAGTTCTCTATAGTTCTCAAGGGTAGGCTTGATTGGTGGGTTTTGGATAAGACGGATGCCGTTTACGTCTGCATGAATTGCAGACGGATTTGGGTGGGGGAGGTCGATGTGATGTGGTGGCAATACCACTGGGGTCTTTTTGGCACGTCTCTTTCGCCTCTTTGGCTCCGCAGGTGCTGAATCAGCTGCATCCTCTATAGCACAACAACACGAATGAGACCAGTCAGCCAGAGGCCTCACAGGGGTAAGAGTAACTTAACACACCTTCACCTGAAGAGTCAGCATCAACAGAGTCAATACCTCCAGCATCAGACACCAAATATGAGTCATCATCCGAACCTGAAAGAATGGAATCTGAGTTTCAAGGACCTTCGAGGAAACACTTGGCGCAACTTACTTTGAGACCTTGCAGATTCCTCAGAATTCGAACCATTGGGCGAGTCTATCAGAAAGGATCACCATCAAATTTGTACATATTCAAAGTCAGCATCTAAGCCTACAAGGATCAATCACAGGTGATTGCTGACCTGGGTTTGATGCATGACGAGTGGATCTCGTGTTTATGCTTCGACTTCCACTAGTGACAGACGCCGCCAATTTTGATGGCTTGGCCTTCCTGGTCCGGGTAGGCGGCATGGGTCAGCAAAATCTTCAATCAATGTCGAGAAGGTTCTATTGCCGGCGCGCTGTATCTATAATGTTGGAGGTTAGCAGGGAATAGGCATTTGAATAGGGTGAGATACGTACTGGGAAAGATAAGGTGTGCCCCTGGGAGGATGAAGAAGAAGTTGGGCGGTAGGTGGGGAGTCAGGATGGTGCGATTTGGTGTGTGGGTACGAGTTACATGTGTATTGTAGCACACGTGACATATGTCTGGTTTTGAGCCTTTTATGGATGTGTGCGACCAAGTTGTGGTTGCATAGGTGGGCTTGTGCAGTGTGTGGGTAACAGCAAAACTTGTATATGTACAAGATTTCCTTTTGGACAGACTGAGCGCACTTGGCTTAGTCTTCTTAAGGTGTGGTGGCTCCATTCAAGTTGCACAAGGTGTTCGATTTGGGGATTATGTAGGGGTATGTATATGTTGTTATCATGTATGTCGGGTGGTTTTTTGAGATGGTGGATTGTTTTGGTCTTGGAAGGGTGTAGTGCTTAAGGCATACAGTCTGGGCGGGTATACCATGTTGTGAACCATGTTGGAAATCCGACCAGGGTTACTCTTTGACCCCACGCGAAATGAAAATGACATGTACACATGTTATTTCACATGAGGGTATACCTGGACAAATATGAGGGGTGTTTCTTTCAAAGGTGGGGTTTTTTACAGTGAGGTATGGCGGTCGGGTGTTGTGTAAAAAATACTACCCGGGTTGCTCTAGTTACCCACCTTCTTCAAACGATCCATGTACGCATGTTTGAGTTGGATATCCGAGGGTTAACTTATTGAGCCTGTTGTTTGTTGTTCTCATACCCAAGTTATTATATTCTTGATGCTACAATTGTACAATCAGCTTTGTTTTCGGATCGTGTACAAGTGTCGATAGATTGATCTTTCAAACTGGGATCACTGTGTGCTATCTTGCTTACAGTGAGACGGTGAGAAATCACACGATTCCTAAGGTTGACATCGTAAATGAAGAATTCATTGCTCTGAGTCGTTTCTGTAAAAAGATGAACCAAACACTTGAACCAGGTGGACATTGAGAACGTTCGAAGGGGATATGAGCAGCTGTGGTGTGTGGTGTATATGTTATAAACTTAGGAGTCTGAGGGGAGGTATGTTTTATCTGGGGGGTAAGTTTTTGATTATGGGATTGGATTGAAGGAAAGGCCGGTGAGTTGGGTCGTGTAGCAATGTTGATTGATATCAATGTGGGTAGGTATTGTTGTTGAGTGGTGTGTGAAGTCAGAGACTGGTAAGGCTGGTCCCTGTGGAGTATGTATGGGGACGGGTTGGGTAGGTATGTGGCTAAGTCTGATACCTGTGGTGTATGTATCTGGTAGGTTTTGTATGTGGATGGTACAAATTTTGCTACAGTGGTGTGTTTGAACTGTGGGTGGGTACGTGGTTTGGTAGCATGGGGGTCTCCCTTATAGAAAAATGGACTTAGCCATTTCGACATCCCTTCAAGATGCTCCTTAAGATGCAACTTCATCTTGGCAGTGTGAAGTCGAATACCATTGGGCCATAGGTAAGGCTGTATGGCTTAATGGTATAGGGTTTTGACTTAAGTGTTCAGGTGAAAAAACCCCCCGGTCGGCTCCCTTTGAATGGCAAGCAAGAAATTTTGCTTTACCACTAGCTACAAGGCCCCATGAGTAGATCGCACTACACAAAATATAATATTTTCTGGGCAGAAAATTAAATTATTGATACACAAAAATATTGAGAGGCCAGGAGAAGGGCAAAAAATAAATAAAAATATGCATCTTGTTCCC